CAAATCTTTATATTGCTTTGCCAGTCTCATTTTTAAAACACAAGGCTCACACCCAGGATGGACTGGATTAAGACTTGTTTTGAACGAACAGGACAAAATGTTTTTATATAAAGTAAAACATTAAAGGTGAACATTTTATGTTTAAATTAACAAATGTGATACATTTTTGCCTTTTTGACAGTTTGCAGCCCCCGCCGCAATAACCAATCATTAAAGTTAAAGAGCAATCATTTCTTTGTTTGTGAACAAACATTCAAAATAAACATGCATTTCTTTATGAACACCATATTCATTCAAGACTGTTGTGATGTTTTACCGAAGGGCATTTGCAACCAATCCCTAAGAAGATGGCACCATTCAACCCTGTCTGCACAGATGTATTTGACCCCCTGGCAAGAAAAGTGATCCCTGGCATTCTTTTGGAAAAGACAAAGAAAAGGCTCTCGCGTCCAATCGCAAAGATTGAGGGCACCTTTTCACTGAAGTAAGTACACATTTTAATATAGGTGATCTCAAAAGAGGTTAATTATGCCTTACTCTATCTTTACTTTTAATCCTACAACCATCCAGATCATATTTCTCATGCTCTGTGTTCATAGGACCAGCAGCTAAATTTCGGTACCAGCTTGCTCTCCAGCAGATCCAGGCTGCCTCCGATGTTAAAAGGTATGGGTTTAAACAAATTCTCATTTAATTATCAGCTATTTTATTGTTTGAATATAGTTACAAATGCAAAAGTTTCAGATGTGTTGGGTTTTCAAAATTTTCATGGGAATCTTGTCAAATAAAGATTATTGGAATATTTTACAGAAAGGCACTTGGGTCCAATCACTAAGAAGATCGTCGACCCCGAGATGAAGATGTCAAGTCAAACTGCAATCCCTGCCACAGATATTTCTAGGCCTGTCGGTTCGCTGTTCCTCTGCTCCCATCAATAGGTTTCCCTTAGCAATCTCTCTGGTTTTTTTTTTTTCCAGTCTAGCCCGGTCCCGTTCTGCGTGTTCCTTGCTGGTGCTCTCGTGGTTCCGGATTCGGTTGGATAATCTCCAGCATTCTCTCCTCCGGATTAATCAACTATCAGCCTTGTGCCATTGGAATTTTTTTGTATTTATTATTAATATTTCTTTTGGACTGTTCCGGCCAAGGGCCTGTGGCTTGTTTGACTTATTAATTTTTGTTCCTATTAAAACCTGATCTCTTTCACTTTAGTCTCTTCCCATTCTTTGCACACCAGCACTTAACAGCAGGACTTTCGTATAGCTTTCTTGAATTAATCTTGATGCCTAAAGTGGGACTAACTGTTTAAAATGTAGTAAATTGTGTGTGTACTCTGGAGTCATACAGATTCATTGAATGAAAATTCACTGAATTATATCCAGACGAATAATGAAGCTGTTGAGTTTTTATTCTGGAGAAACCAAAACACTCAAATTGAAACTCAAATGGTTGTAATGGTTTCATGATGTTGAGAAAGGACCATATATGAAATCTGAATTTCATACCTGTACAAAAAGTTCTTTATATAAGCAGGTCATTTTGGTGAGGGGCTGTTTGTTTTTGGTCAATTCTGAAGTAAACACTCGCTCCCAGAACCTACTCTGCTTTTGAGGATTGGCCAACCATTTTTTGTTGGGCAGAACCGTGTCCCATGCTCATCTGTGAAAACACTATTAACACATTATTACTGTGATGCTCATGTCTCCATCAACTGATTGTTGGAAATGTATTCCCTGCTGGAGCATTTTTCAATTGGAGATTGCCGGGGCGTAACAGACTCAGTCTTCCTGAAGTTGAGCATGGGGCAGGTTGAGGACCATAGAGCCTGCTTACAAGAGCTTGGGGTCCTTGTAACAGCTGACTGCTCAAACAAAAGACTGTCCAAGCAACTTAGAATATTAATGCTCACAACCTGAACACAAATGCCGTACCACAAGCATTCCATGCCCCCAGACCAACCGTCTATAGAGCTCCTCACCGAGGTCAACAGTGGAGGATATTCAGGCCATTCGCCACTAGGAGCTGCAGCCATTGGCCTGCTTCCAGTCGATCCAAACTAGCAGGAAACCAACTCTGCATTACAGTGGACACCATTTATCCTGTGTCGACCAAACAGGGGACCTCAAATCCCCCCCATTCGGACAAGCAATTGAGGGCAGTTTGACATTAAAATATGAGTGTCCTCAGACCTAGCCAAGCCCTTAACCCACTCCCGCCATTGAGCTAGCAGACTGGCGGGTGCGATTTTTCCGACAGCCCCTGAACTGCTTGCCCCCGGCACAATGTAGTCCAAGTGTGCCATCGAGAACGCTCTTCTGATCTTGTGCAAAATGGTCAGGCCACTACCAGCACCTACAAATCAATTGGTTACTTGCATATGCAGGGTCGTATGCGCATCTGTTCCATGCCCCGTGATTTAACTGCTGCTGTTGTTTTATCTCATGCAACATCGTAAGTTCCTGGGTAGGTTTTGCACCCCATAATGATTGCCTACAGTTGAGGGCAGAGAACTACTTTCTCACTGCCCAACTGGCATCTCCAGCTCCCAGCGTATAGCCTCATTGCGGATCTCTTGCGGTTGACGTCGATTAATCCGTTTAAACTCACGGATCCGTGAACTGGTCCCGGAGCACCATATCAGCATCCGGGACTCTGAGTGAATGACCCAAACAGACATGCCCACGCTGCTTGCAGAGTGCGGTGGAGCTTTCACTTGTGTTCAAAAGATATTAGCTGTCTCTGATAGCCTCTCCTGGTGCAGCTGTTCAACCAATTGTCGCAACGCCTGCATGTTGTCCTCCATATTGTAGGCAGATCTATCACAAGAAATCCTTGCCATTCCTTTTTACCCACTCACTTGGAACCCAGCAACCGTCTATGCCTCAGGGCTTCTAAAATGAAAAAAAAAAAACAAAGTATAAAACTATTTTGCCTCTCCCACTCACACACTCAAACCAGTGTAATCTAAAACTAAAAACTGAAAGTAAACTGTGTTTTGCTACAGCTTTACAGGAACGAAAGTGTGTTGTTGTGGCTGAGTGGTTAAGGCGATAGACTCCAAATTCATTGGGGTTTTCTTGTGCACGTTCAAATCCTGCCAATAACAGTGTCTCTTTTGCTGTTTTGAAAAACTTTTTAAGTATAATTTAAAACTAAAAACTGAAAGTACACTGTGTTTTGCTACATCTTTACAGGAAAAACATTGTGTTGTCGTGGCCGAGTAGTTAAAGCGATGGACTAGAAATCAATTGGGGTTTCTCAGCGCAGATTCAAATCCTGTCAATAACAGTGTGTTTTGTTGCTATTATGTGAAAAACTTTTTTAAAATGTAAAAATTTAAAACTGGAAGTACACTGTGTTTTGCTACAGCTTTACAGGAAAGAAATTGTGTTGTCGTGGCCTAGAGGTTAAGGCGATGGACTATTATAACCGCTGTTTACGTTCCACCCGATGTTGATGCCAAGCTTGCTATGACCTTCATACAGCAATCAATAAACAACAGACAGATCATCCGGAGGCTGCAATTATTGTTGCGGGGGATTTTACTCAAACTTAAAGACAGTACTCCCCAAATTTTATCAGAACATTTTCTGTAACACCAGAGCAAACAAAACTTTGGACCAAGTGTATACAAATGTGGCTGGAGCTTACACAGCGACCAACAGATGTGGACGTTACACTCCAGAACAGGTTTCAACACACAGACTGTAGTATGTTTGCACTTTTCCAACTCTGACCCTCGACGCATGTGGTTAGGCATTCAGGCCGTTTCGGAGCAGGATCAATGTGCATACGGCAGATGGATCTGATGGGTACTTAGGGCATGCGCAGAACAGCTTACTGGGGTATTCTCAGACATTTTCAACATGTCTCTTGCCCAAGCAGCTGTACCAACGTGCTTCAAAACCACCTCCATTGTTCCAGTACCAAAACACTCTAACCCAGCATGCCTGAACGACTATCGACCTGTAGCACTCACTCTCATTATAATGAAGTGCTTTGAGCGGCTGGTCCTGGCACATCTGAAAGACTGTCTGTCACCGACCTTGGATCCACATCAGTTTGCCTACCGTGGCAATAGGAGCACAGAAGATGCTATTTCCATAGCACTGCACTCTGCAGTCACACATCTGGACAATAAGAACACTTATGCAAGAGTACTGTTTGTTGACTTCAGCTCAGCATTCAACACTGTTATACCGGCCAAGTTACTCCTCAAACTCAAAGATCTGGATATTAACCCAATACTGTGTAATTGGATCATGGACTTTCTGACCAACAGACCTCAGCATGTTAGGTCAGACAACATCTCCTCCACTACCACCACACTGAACACTGGTGTTCCTCAAGGCGGAGTGCTGAGCCCCTTTCTCTACTCCCTGTTCACCTACTACTGCAAGCCGGTGTATGGATCTAACACCATTGTTAAGTTTGCAGATGATACTACGGTGATTTGTCTCATCAGCAACAACGACGAGACTGCCTACAGAGAGGAGGTCCAGCAGTTGGTAGGTTGGTGCATGGACAATAATCTGCTCCTTAACACCTCCAAAACAAAGGAGCTCATCGTGGACTTCAGGAAGGGAAAAAGAGGCTCACATGATCCTATCCACATTAATGGGATGGCTGTTAAACCTGTTTCATCCTTTAAGTTTCTGGGCACCCACATCTCAGAGGACCTGAGCTGGACCACCAACATCTCCAGCCTGGTCAAGAAGGCTCACCAGCACCTCTTCTTCATAAGAACTCTGAACAAGAACCTGCTGTCCACAGACATCCTTGTGCACAATAGAGAGCATCTTAACAAAGTGTGTCACAGTTTGGTATGGGAGCTCTACTGCAGCTGAGCGCAGGACATTGCAACGGGTGGTGTAAACTACCCAACACATCACAGGAACTCCACTCCCATCCATTGAGTCCTCACCCCGCCAACAGACTGTTCTCTGTCCTGCCATCCAGCAGACGCTTCAGGTTTCCCCGGACAAAAACCAACAGACTGAGGAACAGCTTTTTCCCCAGAGCTGTTTCCTTTTTGAACTCTGTTCCCCACTAAATTTTTATAAACATTTATTGAAATTGTATTGCAAAACCCAAAAATTGCACAACTTTCTTATTGCACCGTCATTACTGCACATTCAATATTTGCACATGTATTACATTTATTGCTCATTTTTATTGTAAAACTTGTATATCATGTTCACAGTACAACCTTCTGTAAATATAATAGCAACTGTATCCATAGCACAATAATCTGTAAATATTAGCAATACTCTTTCTATTTTGTATATATCTTCAACTTATATCCTGCACTTGCTGCTTTTTTGCACTACTGGTTAGACATAAACTGCATTGCGTTGCCTTGTACTTGTACTTGTGTAATGACAATAAAGTTGAATCTATTTAAAAAAAATGAATTGTTACAGTGGGAAAGAAAAATCTTTTCCTATTCAACGGAATATTCACCAAATGTTTTTAATTCTGTTTTAGCATTAAAAACTGCTTGTGTTTTATGGAGGTGCACGGCTGTAAAATGTATTATAAAAAATAAAAGTAAAGTAATATCGCGTGCGCTAAAAACTTTATTTACAGCCAATTAAACTGGGCGCACGGAACCACGTGACACGCGACACTTGTTTTTATTCTAGTCGATGTACTATTTTTGACGTCACGATTCTGAGCATCGTTTATTGCGTCGACGACACAAGTTCAACACTCTATTAAACCAGAGCTGGTCAGCAGATAGCGGCAGTAAACCTCGATACAAGAAAGATCTCGTGCGTCTAAATATTCACAATGTTTGGTAAAATTTCAAACTTACCGTTTGACTGTAAAATGGACGGCGTTTATGAATCCACGACCAGCAGGGATTTTAAAACGCCCGCCGCTGTCCAGGGGCCTAAAGGAGTCCGGTTCTCGCTCCACTCAACTAACTTCAAACTTCAGGACCACCACCGTGGAGCCACCGAGACCACTCACTCCTCCGAGTTTAAGAGCCCGCCGATGTCCACGGCGCAGATCCTCCGTCCTCGAACCTCCGTCAGGACGAGTTTCACCGGGAAGCTTCCTGAACCCACCTATAGGACCACCTACACCCCTCACGACGTGTCCCCGGTGCTCAGGGTGAAGGAGTCGGCAAAAACAGGTCAGTTCTATCGAATCACCTCTGTTTTTATAGACCATTTCAATCGAAAAACATTTAGTAACATTCAATGAAACTCATTTTATATTCTATATTTTACTATACATCTCCATTCTCTGCCTCTTATCTCATCACTTACTGCATTGTAGTCATTAAAAAATATAAACCCCTACATTTTTCGCATTTCCTGTAATTAAAATAATATTCATTAGTCATTGGGATATTGTTATTTACATGAGCACCTTTTCTATTTGCTCTAAATGTTAAAATAAGTAAAAGGTGATATTTTGATATTTCTTTGAACGAATAAGAAGAAACAACTTTTTTAATTTGTTTAATATTTATTACCTCGAAAATGTAGCCAATAGCAAAGGTAGCTTCAAAACAAGCAAAACGGACAATGGCAGTATCGTGTGTTTCCACCATTTGTTGTAATGGCCGCGTCACATTGATCCTCACGAGCCTCATGATGATGTTCTGAGGAAATGCATTGTGGTGGATGTGCGGTGTGGTGGAGCATTATCACCTGTGAACAGAAAGTTGGGCGTGTGCTGGTGGAATTGGGGGATGATGAGGGACTCTATGATGTCTCTGAGGTAGGACCTCAGTGACTGAGCCATCATCATTAACCAAATCAGTTTTGGGTTTACTGTTGCACCTCCTCCTCTAAAGCTAACCCTCACTGGTGAACTGGGCGGTAGATTGTCCAGGTCCCCAGTCTCTCCCAATATCCCGAACTTATTATGAGTACAACAGAGTATTGGAGGCCCTGACCTTTATTCTTGTGAAAAGTATTTCATGTCTTTTATTGCGTTTTTCTTTCGTAATGTGACTTTCTCTTGTTTTTTATAAAAGGTGTTGGACTGAGTCTGACGCAGGAGAAGAAGAACCTGTTCAGCTCTGCTTCTCAGGAGGCTTATCAGTACAGGAGACCTATTCCTTCGGCTCCTCTGGGGTCCATCGAGAAGGTACTGCTCTGGTATCTGGGCAGGGTACAAAGAAAATATCGGCACATATTAATCTCTTTTTTTGTTTCTTTCAGCAACATGTTCAGTGTTCTTCTGTTCTGCTGGGAGATAGAGAGAAGATCATGGACACTCAGACGTCCTACTCCTCTTCTTTCAAGAGGTCAGAGAATCTAAACTTTAGTCAGATTTAACTTCTTGCCATTGCTGTGCTCCCATCAAACCTCATGAAAGGAAATATGAAGAAGGATAAAAACCAATTTCATAGAATTGTAACCGGTAAAGAATGAATTCAGGCATTCTATTTAAATCGATTCTGCAAAGTCTGGAATGATCAAAATTTCACATTCTATAGAGTGTTGGATCACCCGCCGGCTAAGTGTTTAGCAGACCGATATGTTTCCTACACCATTGCTGTCTGAGAGGCTCGTCCGTGCCAAGAATAAGTTTTTAAACTGTGCCAAGGAGTTTAATAGAATTTATCTCTGAAAGATGTGTAACCCTAGCATTCAGTCTACCCCTGGTCAGCATAGGTCTGTTATTTTGCACCGGGTTCCCATAGTCTGTCTCTTGACGTATGTCTCTGATCCCTCTTTCAGGAATCGATGGGTTACACAAGTAACCAAGATGATTCCATAGCACAGTTGTATACATTTTTTCGGTTCGGCTTGAGAAACGAAACTAAGGATTTTTTTGGCTGAGCCGTCACAATAATTCCTCTATGTGCTGGTAAAACGTGATGAAACTAACGCTCTCCTCTCTTAACAGTCATGGATATGCCAAGGAATGCTTGCTTCCTAGCATTAAAAAGAACCAGCCCTTCAACCTCCGGGAGATGTCTAACGACCAGTGGATGACATCATCGAAGGCCGAGTTTCATCCGCTCAAGCCTGGTACGTACCAATGACTCTTCCTTAAGTGAGTTACACGATGCTTTGACTGCTTTCCTTTGATGTTTTCCTTTGATGTTTAAGTCTATCTCAACTATACGATACAGTATATAACATGAAATCTTATCATAATATCATTGTATTAACATACTTTTATTAAAAATTTACACAAGAAACTGAAATGAAAACATAAGCTTCAAAAACTATTTCAATGTTTAAACTTTGATTGCAAAATAAAACTGAAATGTAAGAAACTTTAAGACTGTAATGCCAAAAACGCCAGCTAGGGGGCAG